TTTTTGTATTTTTAGTAGAGACGGGGTTTCACCGTGTTAGCCGGGATGGTCTCGATCTCCTGACCTCGTGATCTACCTGCCTTGGCCTCCCAAAGTGCTGGGATTACAGGCGTGAGCCACTGCGCCCGGCCACAGAAATATATTTTATTAATAGAACATTCCAAGATGTAACTTAATTAGGGCAAATGTTGATGAAAGGGAAAGTTCATACCGGTATATGTTTACTAAAATTTTAAATAAAAATTCACTTAAATCAATTCAACAAATGTTTACTGCACCTCTACTATATAGAAAGTACGGAATTAGGTAATGCTTTTTTTTTTTTTTGGCAGGATCTCACTCTTTTGCCCAGGTTGGAGTGCAATGATGCAATCTCAGCCCACTGCAGCCTCAACCTCCTGAGCTCAAATGATCCTCCTGCCTCAACCTACTGAGGAGCTGGGCACATGTCACCACATTCAACTAATTTTTGTATTTTTGTAGAAATGGGATCTCTTGCCCAGGCTGGTCTCGAACTCCTGGGCTCAAGCTATCTACCTGCCTCAGCCTCCCCAAATGCTTGAATTACAGGCATGAGTCACTGCTTCCTGACAGATGTGCTTTTTAAAAAGAAGTAAACAAAATGTCAAGGCAATACCATAAATGTCAGTGGGAAAATTTTATACTTAAAATTTAACTCTGTACTATTAATATTGTTTTGCTATGGAATATGCTACAGGTTCCATCATGTCTTATTTATTAGTGTTTTTTTTTAATTAAAGAGTAGAATGGCATACATGACCTTTTATTGTTCTTTGCTATTTTTCTTTCTTACTATTTTGAAAATAATATCTTCAATTTTTCATAAAAAATTTGATTATAAAAAGAAAAGGCAAACATATGTGGTAATACTTTTAGTGCACACCTCAAAAATGTCAAAGCTTACTGAACTGCTCACAATTTTATTGTTGTTGTTAATGAACCTTTTAGCAAACCACAAAAAAAATTACCTCCTGATTCAAAAGCTCTGTTCTTAGCAGAGGCCTAACATGGATGCTATTTAAAATTTGTGGCTGCATAGTTTTAAATATTTGATGTTCAAGAATGTTTCCTGCTGACCAAATAACTCCTCCTCTCAGAAACATGGGAAGGAAAAATGGGAAAGATAAGCTGAGAAAAGCAAATTGTTCTTAAAATAAAACAGCTGGCTGAATTAAATTGAATCAATTACACTTCTTACATTGAAATGCAGTGTTTAGTGAAGAGACAATAATATTGTGATGATTTAATTTTAACATGAGATTCTCACAAAACATGTAAAATGTACAAATATTACAATTATCAAGAAATACATGTTAAAATTTTAACTCTCTGAGTTGACAGACTGTGTCATAGTGAAACTTTTCAGTGACAGTAGAGCTAGAAGAAAATGTGAAGGTTATCGTTTAATGCAGCAGTAATTAAGCAGGTAGATGTCTTAATTGTGGTGCGATTGGCCTACTTCTCTGCAAGCTAAATATCTTTGCCCATCTGGACGTGGTCAATGACCTACTTTTCTCAATTCTACCAGTATAGTATACTAACTCACAAAAGTGAAAAGTAATCTACTTATTATGAGAGGAAGTAATGCAGTTGAAATGATGTATGTATTTAGCAATTAATCTTACTTAGATTTCTCATATATTATGGGTAAATAAACTTTCCTATAAGCAATTTTATGTTGAGTCTCAAATTTAACCCCAATGTATGACAAAAAAGCAAGCCTAGTATGAACATATAAACATACATTTTCTTTTCGTTTTACATCTTAAGATTTTATTTTATTATTATTATTATTATTATTTTGAAATGGAGTCTCACTCTGCCGCCCAGAATGGAGTGCAATGGCGTGATCTTGGCTCACTGCAACCTCTGCCTCCCGGGTTCAAGCGATTCTCCTGTCTCAGTCTCCTGAGTAGTTGGGAATACAGGCGCCTGCCACCATGTTAGGCTAATTTTTAGTAGAGATGGTGTTTCACCATGTTGGCCAGACTGGTCTCAAACTGCTGACCTCAAGTGATCCACCCACCTCGGCCTCCCAAAGTGCTGAGATTACAGGCATAAGCCACTGTGCCCGGCCTTAATTTAACATTTTAACATGGTTTTGAATCTGCCTCCCCTTAGCTGGACACTTTATAAAGATAACATAAATCTACTGTTTCTTATGAAAATTTCAGAGAATGATCTTCAGCCTGAGTCTTAGGCAATGTTGTTTGCATTGCCCTGATGTAAAATTGTTCAATATTAGATTTTTATGTTAACATTAAACTCAAAATGGATATCTCCCTTAGGTTATTCACTATTATCCATCCTCCATGGAATGTTCAATAGAATTTTTTTTGGTTTTGTTTCATTCTTCTATATATTCATTCATAAATATACAGCTTTAATACATGAATTCACCAGAAAAATACTTACTACATACCTATCCTGTGCTGAGTACTTTGTTGTTTAGGAGAAATAAGCATGACTATCTTGTAAATGGATAGTCAGAAACTTATAATCTTTAATAACTTGAAGGTTTTGTCATCCTCTAAATATAAAACATAACTTAATATTCTGACCTAAGTTCTAAAATTTAAAAAGTAATCGACAATGTAGTTTGTCTCAGTCAGATAGACTAGGCTATTCTGCAGTAACAAATATTCCCCAATTTTCCAAAGATGATGATGATAAAGTTGATATTTTGCTTATGCTACATATCTATCATGGGTTACTGGGGAGGAATGGGAGAAGTGTTCTCTGTTCATGGTAGATATTCATGGAGACTAGCTGACATCTGGAACATTGCAGGTCATGAGCAAACTGGGGAAAGAGATGTATGGATGGCCACACATTAGCAATGAAACAAGCCAGCCCAGTAATAACAAACAGCACTTCCTCTCACAAGGGAGCAGGTAAATCTGGTCACACAGTCCCATCCAACCATATAAAGACCTGGAAGTACAGGCCTATCACATACATCAATGAGAGAAAAACCAGAACTATTTGTCAAATAGCACTAATAACTGAAGAACCAGTAGTACTTGACAAATCATCCCACTTAATGATCACTGAATATTTGGATCACCTCAGTTCTCTCATACAAAGTGTATCTAATTGATGAAGGTGGCTACACTAAACAACTGATTTTCACTGTAGAACAAACAGCCTTCTATTGGAGGTAGATGCCATGCAGGACTTCCATAACTGGAGACAAGAAATTAATGCCTGGCTTCACAGCTTCAAAGGCCAGGCTGGCTCTCTTGGTGGGGGTTAATGCAGTCAGTAACTTTAACTTGAAGCCAATGGTCACTTACCATCTGGAAAATCCTAGGGCCCTTAAGAACCATGCTAAAGCTACTTTATGCTCTAAAAAAGGAACAACAGGCCAGGTGCGGTGGCTCATGCTGTAATCCCAGCACTTTGGGAGGCTGAGGGGGGCGTGATCATCACCTGAGTTTGGGAGTTTGAGACCAGCCTGACCAACATGGAGAAACCCTGTCTCTACTAAAAATACAAAATTAGTTGGGTGTGGTGGCACATGCCTGTAGTCCCAACTACTCAGGAGGCTGAGGCAGGAGAATCGCTTGAACCCGGGAGGCAGAGGTGGCGGTGAGCTGAAATCGCGCCATTGTACTCCAGCCTGGGCAACAAGAGTGAAACTCCATCTCAAAAAAAAAAAAAAAAAAAAAAAAAAAGGAAAACAAAGCCTGGTTGACAGAACATCTGTTTACAGCATGGTTTACTGAGTATTTTTAATCCCCTGTTGAGTTCTACTGTTCAGAAAAGAATATTCCTTTCAAAATGTTACTGATCATTAACATTGGTCCTGGTCACCCAAGAGTTCTGATAAAGCACAAGGAGATTAATGTTTTCACGTCTGCTAACACATCATTCGTCCGTAGACCTTGGGTCAAGGATTCTTTTAGACTTTCGAGTCTTATTATTTAAGACTGTCAGTCTTTGCACTTCACCATTGTTCCCCAGATTATTCCTTCAACTGGCATGAAGAGGGGTATGGCAACTGTGGGATTTGAACCATCGTTTAACAAGATATGGGGAGTGAATGGCATTTGCTTACCATGACTTTAGTTTTAGTTTCACCTTCCAAATTAGACTTCTATACACTTTTTAAAGTTTTATTTAAGTTGTACTTTCATCATCATACACAGTAGTAACAAAGCCCTTTCTAATAGTGGTTGTATTAGCTACTTTGTGGCTGTTATTCTGCAAGATCCTTTCAAATCCCTTTTTGTACCATCTACTTCCCTTTCCCTTCCAAGCATCAGTACTAATGTACAGCTCTTTGGCCCTCAAGCTGCTGAAGGGGCTTTTGCCCACAGATGAAGAGATTGTAAAGCATCTGGGACATCTGGGAGTTGATATGCTCATCCCTCCCAGTGTGGCCTTTAACCAATGACTGAACAGTGTAGGAGTATGAAAGTTCACTCCCTTGCCTGGTGTAAGGATAACTCAGATGTAATTTACTCTCCAGAGTTCCCCAGGAGGATCGTGCTGAAGCTGTCCTCTGAGGGATGTTCGCCTGAGATTTCACTCTTCCTTGCATCCACTGTCTTCCCTTAGATCATTTTCTTAAATTAATCAAACATACATCCTCGTCTCAGAGCCTATGTCTAACTTAAGATACACCTATAGTAGAGACCTCTCTGTCATGCCAAAATATTGCCGTCTGGTGGCAAGACTAAGAATATCAGAGTTCTTTGCATTCACTGCGTGACCTTTCTAATAAGAGCATTTTCCAACGTGTGGCAAGTTTCAATCTTCAAAAAAACCGCAGCTACTCACAGTGTAAGATGCCTGTGGGGGTGTGGCTCTGGGCCTGGAAAAATTAGAGCAGTCTGGACCCTGAGAGGAGGCGAGCAGATAAAAAGCCTTCTGAGCCTCACCGGCTCCCGTACTGACGTCAGCCTTGGTGGATTAGTTTGTCGCCCCTTTTAGCCAATCGGGTTGGTGTCTCTTTGCCGCTAACCTACTGCCTTCTCCGACCGTCCGTCCTCAGGGCAGGTGTGCTCTCTTCCCTGAGCTTTTAGGGGTTGACTTTTCCAGTTCCAGATCAGATACGGCAAACGTCGTTCGAGATGTCCCACCAAGAGGGCAGCACAGATGGCTTACCAGACTTAGGGACTGAAAGCCTGTTAAGCAGCCCAGAGGAGCAGTCTGGAGCAGCAGTGGTGACGGCGGCCTCCTCAGACACTGAAATGGCGGCCGCAGAGCCATCGACCGGAGATGGCGGTGATACCAGGGATGGTGGTTTCCCGAACGATGCCAGCACAGAAAATCAAGACACAGACCCAGAAAGTTCAAGTGAAGACGTCGAACTTGAAAGTGTGGAGGATTTTGAGCATTTCCTCGTGAGTGGTGAAGGTTTATTTTATTACCCCTTAGTGGGAGAGGAGGAGACAGAAAGGGAGGAGGAAGAAGAAGAGATGGAGGAGGAGGAAGGGGAGGAGGAAGAAGAACAGCCTCGGGTGTGTACACGATGCGGTGGCGCCAACCATGAGCAGTGTTTGTTAGAGGAGGATCGGGCGCTGGAGGAGTGGATTTCGTCAGAGACGTCTGCCCTGCCCCGACCTCGCTGGCAAGTCCTTACTGCTCTTCGCCAGCGGCAGCTGGGTTCAAGTGCCCGCTTTGTATATGAGGCCTGTGGGGCAAGAGCCTTTGTGCAGCGTTTCTGCCTGCAGGGTCTTCTTGGAGGCCATGCTGGTTCTGTCAGTACTGTACACTTTAACCAGCGTGGCACCCGGCTGGCCAGTAGCGGTGATGACTTAAGGGTGATAGTGTGGGACTGGGTGAGGCAGAAGCCAGTACTGAACTTTGAGAGTGGTCACGATATTAATGTCATCCAGGCTAAGTTCTTTCCTAACTGTGGTGATTCCATCATGGCCATGTGTGGCCATGATGGACAGGTACGGGTAGCAGAACTAATTAATGCATCGTATTGCGAGAATACTAAGCGTGTGGCCAAGCACAGGGGACCTGCCCACGAGTTGGCTCTGGAGCCAGACTCTCCTTATAAGTTCCTCACTTCAGGTGAAGATGCCGTTGTGTTCACCATTGACCTCAGACAAGACCGGCCAGCTTCAAAAGTTGTGGTAACAAGAGAAAAGGATAAGAAAGTGGGACTGTATACAATCTCGATGAATCCTGCCAATATTTACCAATTTGCAGTGGGTGGACATGATCAATTTGTAAGGATTTATGACCGGAGGAGAATTGATGAGAAAGAAAACAATGGAGTGCTCAAGAAATTCACTCCTCATCATCTGGTTAATTGTGATTTCCCAGCAAGCATCACCTGCATTGTGTACAGCCACGATGGCACAGAGCTCCTGGCCAGCTACAATGATGAAGATATTTACCTCTTCAACTCCTCTCACAGTGATGGTGCTCAATATGTTAAGAGATATAAGGGGCACAGAAATAATGCCACAATCAAATGTGTTAATTTCTATGGCCCCAGGAGTGAGTTTGTTGTGAGCGGTAGTGATTGTGGGCACGTCTTCTTCTGGGAGAAATCGTCCTGCCAGATCATCCAGTTCATGGAGGGGGACAGAGGAGGTATAGTAAACTGTCTTGAACCCCACCCTTACCTACCAGTGTTGGCGACCAGTGGCCTAGATCAGCATGTCAAGATCTGGACACCCACAGCTCAAGCTGCCACTGAGCTTACTGGGTTAAAAGATGTGATTAAGAAGAACAAGCAGGAACGAGATGAAGATAACTTGCACCATATCGACCCGTTTGACAACCACATGCTTCGGTTCTTCATGCGTCACCTGTCACAGAGAGCTCATCACTCCGGCTGGAGAGGTCATGGAGCTGAGTTCCCAAATGAAGAGCTGGATGAGTCTTCCAGCACCTCGGATACATCCGAGGAGGAGGGCCAAGATCGAGTGCAGTGCTTGCCATCCTGAAGGCCTCATATCCACTCCAGCTAGATGTTACCTGAGTACCCTGGACTTTAAAATTCAGTCTGACTAATTTAGAGTTGTCAATAGATTAATAGATTTGCTTTTTGTCTTCTATTTTTCACAATATATTCTGAAAACCATCTCTTCCATCTCCTTCTCTCCTTTCTTCCTTCCACACATTCTTTGTCTCTCATTCCTTTCCTCTATTTCTTTATGCCTCTTTTGTTACCCCTTATATGAGTGCATACACAACTTATGCCTCTCTTCTCTGTTCCCTTATAATTGACCTCTAAAATTGCATAATTTTGTTGAAAAAATTAATGGCCTTATTAGATGTATCTACTCATTTCAGACATTCTGAAAACTATTCCTTTTTTACTTTTTTTCATCTTTTACCAATTTATTTTGAAGATCAAGTTCTTCAGTTGACTTGAAAATTTCATAAATGTGTTTATTCTTTAGAGGTAAAATAAGGCAAACCATAATTCTTTGAATACTGACACTTGGACACACACAGTCTCAGAAAAGGAAAAGATAAGTAGTGTGTAAATTAATTCCTAACACTTAGCCATACACACACACAGCTTCAAAAGTTGTGGTGACCAGAGAAAAGAATAAGAAAGTGGGACTGTATACAATCTCTATGAATCCTGCCAATATTTACCAATTCGCAGTGGGTGGACATGATCAATTTGTAAAGATTTATGACCAGAGGAGAATTGATGAGAAAGAAAACAATGGAGTGCTCAAGAAATTCACTCCTCATCATCTGGTTAATTGTGATTTCCCAACAAACATCACCTGCATTGTGTACAGCCACCATGGCACAGAGCTCCTGGCCAGCTACACACATACACATACACACACAGCCTCAGAAAAGGAAAACAGAAGAAGTAGTGTGTAGATGAATTCCTAACTAGATAATTCATCTCCTCAGAGCAAATAACTTGGGATTATCCACATTTTCTGAATCCATATGTTAATAATATTGATTAATTTGAGCACACTGAAGCTGGTAAGAACTAAATTAAATTTAATCACATGACATTGTTTATGCATTAAATTTTCTTGAAGTTTTATGCTTGGGAACTCCCACAGGATTATATTCCAGGAAGTCCTCCTGAGACAAGCATCTCCTATAAGATGCCAGCTAGGAATATAAAAATCTCTCATATTTGAAAAAATATATTTTAATTAACTTTTAAGAATAAGTTGCAATAAAAATTGTTTATACTTACAGCCATTTGATACTGTTGGTAGAAAAATCCTATTTGACATCCATGCATTGCTTAAAATTTAGCTGTTTTATGAGTTTGTTTTAAAAATTGTTGCAATAAAGATTGTTTATACTTACAAGTGATGTAGTTGGTAGAAAAATCCTATTTGACATCCATGCATTGCTTAAAATTTAGCTGTTTTATGAGTTTTAAAAATTGTTGCTATAAAGATTGTTTATACTTAACAAGTGATGTAGTTGGTAGAAAAATCCTATTTGACTTCCATGCATTGCTTAAAGTTCTCTCAGCTGTTTTATGAGTTTAAATTGTTTTAAAAATTGTTTTAAGCTTTACTTAATATAAATTTAAGTTACTAGATGTTCAATTACTTTTCAATAAAAATGTTCATTTTTATTTTATATGTGTTATTTGTGCAAATGAATTCAGAAGATCACCTTTTCCCCAGCACGATGAACTATACCACACCATATTTTTTTTTCTTTTTTTTTTTTTTGAGACGGGGTCTCACTCTGCCGCCCAGGCTGGAATGCAGTGGCACAATCTCGGCTCACGGCAACCTCTGCCTCCTGGTTTCAAGCAATTCTCCTGTCTCAGCCTCCTGAGTAGCTGGGACCACAGGTGTGTGCCACCACGCCCGGCTAATTTTTGTATTTTTGGTAGAGATGGGATTTCACCATGTTGGCCAGGTTGGTCTTGAACTCCTGACCTCAGGTGATCCGCCCACGTCAGCCTCCCAAAGTACTGGGATTACAGGCATGAGCCAACACATCCGGCCTATACCACACCATTCTTTGCAGACTTTTCTTGGGAAAAGGATGTAATGAAACATCCTGTGTCCTGACAGTGGCTTTTCTTTGATAATACTTCTTGAAATGAGTATTATCTCTGTGTTTTTGGGAGAATGTAGAGTAATTTGCGTAATGAGATTAGAATTTAGAATGGAACATAATGACTGAAGTTCCTGCTCACTGAGATCCAAAGTTAGGGACAACTGCCTGGGGGTCTGGGAGCCTCAAGAAGCCCCTACCAAGGTCTGCTCTCAGGAAAGGATCTTAAGAGTCCCAAAAGAGAATTTACGGGCCATAAGAAGAGAGTTATAAACTAGAATTCCAAGTTTGGGGCACTCTCTATAACTTCATGGGATGCATACCAGCAATAATACTAACAAAACATTAAAAAAAAAAAAAACTATCATTTGGTATTTCAAGTGACACTCGGTGTCAATGAGAGCAAAAGTGAAAGCAGGTAAATTATGCAGTTTTTTTCCACCTGCTGTTTAGAAGGTCTGCCTCTGTGGGAATTTATACTCTGCTCACTTAACTAAACTAAAACTTTACTCAGAGTTCCCTGAATGGTTCTGAGACTGCTTCTTAACAATAGTATAATTATCAAGACCAGGAAATTAACTATATTATAGAGCTAATTCAAATTTCATCAATGTTCCCATTAATGTTTTTCTTCTTTTCCAGTATCCAAGAATATATGTTAATCGTTAGATCTCCTTAGCCTCCCCTCATGTGTGACTTTTTTTTCACTCTTTTTTGTCTTTCATGACCTTGACAGTTTTGTAGTGTAGTGTACTGATCAGGCATTTGGTAAAATACATCCTATTTTGAGTTTCCCTGATGTTTTCTTATGATCCCATTGAGGTTATTCATTTTTGGCAAGAATACCACAGAAGTACGGTCTACAGTTATTTTTGAGGTGTGTGTGTGTGTTTGTGTGCGTGCTTTGCTGTAACTGTTTTCTTCCCATCTGACAGTGAGTCCTGAAGCTAATGCCTCATATTTGAGGTTTTTCTTATGGCAGTACCCATTTTCTAGTAACCAATTTTGTGGCAGTCACAAAGGACAAGATTATGTTATAAAGACTACAACTGGCATATCTCAGTGCTTTAATAACAAAGGTTTATTTTTTGCTAATGCTAAATGTCAATCACAAGTTTGCAGAGGGGTTTTGCTCCTGGTTGCTTCTCAGATATTCAAGCTGATGAAGCATCCACCACTTTCAACATTTCTGGTCATCAATGCAGAGAGGAAAAAGAACTTTGGAGTGTCTTACATCAGCAATTAAATGCTTCAGCCTTGAAGTGACATATCATGCTTCTCCTCTAAACTCATTGTTTCAGTCTAGTCACATGGCCTCCCTTAGCTATGAAGCCACCAGGAAGAGCATTCCTACCATGTGCTTGGAAGCAGGGGACCAGAAATATTTGAAAAACAGCATCAATGATGACCACGTTTCTACTATGATGGTTTGTATATTTTAAAGTTATTTTACAAAATCATTTTCTGGCTGCATTTTATGCATAATAAAAATTTTGAAAAAAGCTACAAAGCATAAAGGATAAACACCAAATTATTCCTAATTCAACCTTCAAAAGTTATGCATGTGTGTTTATGTTTGTTTCCTTGCATCTGCTTTTTCTGTGTGTGTGTGTGTGTGTGTGTGTGTGTGTGTGTGTGTAATCAGGACCACACCAGAAACAGAGCTATATACCAATAAATTTCACTGATTTTGAAAATCTTACCATTTCAGCACAAACTCTTTGAAATCACTGATTTATTAAATAAGTAAATACTACTTCACTGCATATATGCAGACCTTTTTTACATTTTTCTTTTTAAGACATACAGTCAGTTTTAATATTCTCCTATTATAAAGCTGTGATCATATAATCTATTAAGATACATTTATTCTGTTTTTCTACTTATTAGCATAGCATATAAAAACTGGATATAGTGTCATGAGATTTTGAGGCTTATATATGGTAGTTGGTTTATTATTATTCCTGAATTATGCAATTGTGAATAAATAAAGTCCTTGCTATACCACACCTCATAGCACATAGTGTTCTTACCTGCAAAGCAATTTAATCTTAATTCCAGAACATCACCATCCCCACAGATGAATGTTAAACCATCTTTTAAATAATAAATGTTTTGGCGTTCATCTTCTTGGCTTTTCCAAGCATATTGTTATGTTATCTACCGATTCTTGTGGTTTTCTCTTATTTAAAACCTACACTATGGCAATCATGAGAATGAGGCTTTCAGAGGTCTAACTGCAGGGATAATAATTGACAGAGGTCCCAGCTACTGCCTTCCATTGTGACATTGGCACAAATGCCATGCTTCTCATGAGCTGTTCCCAGCTAATGACAGTGTGGCAGAGATGCTAAGACAAACCCATTCTGGAAAACACAGGGCTCTTCTGACAGCCCATTTTGGCTCAAGGACTGTTGAAATCTTCTTATAACTGTGCTACAGTCTAATGGATTTCCTGCCCAAATTTATCTCCTTTTCTCTCCTGCACAATGGTTAGACTTGCACCACAGTGTGATGACTCTTCCAGCTCCCTCAGGATTCCTCCCCATTTTTCCTTCACAGGCATTTTCTCCAATAAATTTCTTGCATGTTTAATCCCATCTTGGCATCTGCTTCTCAAAAGACAGGAGCTAACATATACATCATTTTGGGTTCGTTTCTATTCTCTTTACATTAGAAAAAGCATGTTATGTTCTTTGCTTTCTTGTTTTAGATTTTAATGGCCAAGATTCTAGATAAGTGCCATGAACCATGTGATTGATCAGAGTAAAATGCACAGTATCATAAGGAATAGATTAAGGAATAGGTTTCATTGGAGGATTTACATGGCAAGAGTAGCAAGAGAAGGCCTGTATATTCTGATTTTTCCATCTTTCCACAAGGAGCCATGCCATGGTCAGTCAAGTGGAGGGACACTTCCTGTTTCCTACTTTTCCTTGTTGGGGGTCAATTGTGAGAACGAACTCATCACTGTAGGAACAAAATGTTGTGCTACTAGGATATCAAGGTTCTCTGGGAAAGCTAGCTGCCCTGCCTTTGGAAACACTGAAGTTCATGATAAGTGTGTAGCCCTGCTCTCAATAGAGGGAAGTCATCCATCCCTGGAGAAGCTGAGTAAAAGTACACTTCCTCTCCCTGGGAATAGGGGGTGCTCTAGGTCTCAGCCAACTAATTGCTTAGCAAACTGAAATGAGTTCCCAGGATCATACTTGGACATTTTTACTTATTGCTTGCTCTCACTTTAAAATGTTAATTACTGTTAGTTCAACTTACTACTTTTCATGATATAGAGGTGTCCTTATATTCATATTATATTAACAAAATTTCTAATGCTAAGCAGTCTTTTCATTCCTGAAATAGCTCTAATTTTTTTCTCAGCAGATAAGTCACTTAATGAATGACTGAGTTTTTTTTTTTTTTCATGAAATCAGGTATTCTCATTTAAATATACTTGAGATTAGACTATTATGGAAACATGGTTGCAGGGAGATATGTGTATGTGTGTGTGCACATGCGCTCCTCTCTGTCTATTAACTTTGCCAATTACTGATAGCCTAATTGTGCTCCATTCAAAAGCAAATTGCTTGGCTTTCCATTATTTTATATAAGATTAAATAGTTTATTTAGCACAGAAATGATTATATCAGAAAAACAACACAACATCTTTACTTAGAACTTTTTTGAGAATCTTGATACATGTTTCACTTTCTTCCATGTTAGTTAATTGGTTCAGATTTTGTATACTTACATCATTTTAGATAATTTTTATTTTCCATATACATTTTTTTTCAGATTGATGGAATGGATGTATTCTGTCTCTATATTTCTAAACACTGAAGTTTTTCTGTTTTATGCTTCAAAATATATTTATCAATGTTTTCTATCATTATTTAATTTGCCAAAATTTCATGCATAAAACACTTTTAAAAAACAAGTATTCTACACTTAATTTGCCGAAATTTCATGCATTAAATACTTTTAAAACTAGTATTCTATTTATTGTATTATAATTGACTATTCATAATAAAATTTATGAATTTATGCTTCAAAGTTTCTGATTTTTTGATGATTTTCTTGTTCTTTCTACAATTGTTATCTAATTTATTTAAATAATTTTTATAAGGAACATATTCAAATCTATGAATCTTCTTTCAATGATTAGTGCTTTGATCACATTTCTTATATTTTAATCAGTAATATTCTCACTATTTTCTGAATTGCCCACGGTTATATTTGCCTTATGCTTGTCCAATTTACATATTTTAGATATTAAAAATAATGCATGCATGTTTTAACAACTGAAGTAATGCAAAATTTATGAATAAATGTGATATCTTCTCTATCCACAGATTACCAAGGTTAATCAGTTTGGTCAGTGTCCTTTTTGCATCTTTTTTTGTGCCTCTATGTATATATTCAAAAGTATACATAAATACATAGTTGTTTCCCTTCATCAATGTGTTCACAAAACAGAGATCATTCTGTACATATTACTTAATTATTTTAAAATTTTGTTTATTTTTACTTGGTAATATACTATATATTAGCCTTGCATGATAGCTCA